TTCCCAGCTCCCCCACATCTCCTTCTTTCCCAGCTCCCCCCTTCCTTCTTTCCCTCTCTCTCTTAGCCCCTCTCTCTCTTAGCCCCTCTCTCTTTCCCCTCTCTTGTCTTCCCACTCTCTCTCTTCCCACTCTTTCTCTCCCTCTCACTCTTCCCACCACCCTCTCTCTTCCCATCTTCCTCTCTCCCATTTTGATATGCTGATTCCGATCTGGATAAAATACTTTTTTTTTGCCATCTTCTGAATCCAGTAAGAAAAGGAGTCAACCCCGATCCATTTGTTCAATTTGGATACGCTGGTTCCGAATTTGATATTATTTTTATGATAGAACATAGCATTCAATAAGTTTATAATAAACAAAATTTTAGTATCAGCGGCCGCATCGATACCATGATCAATACCACCAAGACGAGGTATTTCTCTGTGGATTTTCCCGAAAAACGTTGATTAAAGGGACAAAAAATGTAAATTTTAAGTTGTCAAGGACTGTCAAGCTATGGAGGTCACCAAACTTTGGCAGCCATTTTCTCGCTAATTTTACCTCTGAACCCGGTGACCCCATCCTCCTTTGATCGCAAATATCTTGACTTCTATTCAAGACTACCTGGGCCCCCTTTCAATGAAAGGAATGATCGGTGCATTAACATCTACTTAATATCATTGGCCTACTATATTTACACTCTTGTCAAATTGTCTTGTCAAATTGTCTTGTCAAATTGTCTTGCAAACGGTCTTATGTTATTGTCTCTTTCTGATTGTCTTACCTGATGGTCTTACTTTTTCTCGCAGTTGCCCGATGAACCAGACATGAGAATGAAATTGATAGAGGAGGTCAAGAGGTCGGGCAGAATTCCGGAGAATCTGTACTCTCGGTACCAAGAGGGATGCCACAAGGAAAGACAGGCTCTTTTAGAGGGTGACTGACTCTACTTACCCGTTTTTCAAAATGATCAAATATCTAACTATACAACTAAGCGAGTCACTTGTCACTTTAGAAATATTCTCTGCGGATAATCCAATATATTGGTCATTGTCAGACATTGAATGATGAGTTATTATTATTATTATTACTATTATTATTATTATTATTATTATTATT